AGACTTGGACTCTACGAAAGCAGGATGAGCATGCGGTCGGCGTTATTCAACGCGCCATCGAAAGGGCGATGCTCGGAGTTTCCCGCTACACGCAAGTGAGAGAGGGAATCCGGAGCTTCCGCACTCCGCCAACGATCGAAGATCAGAGATCAGACCGCCGCACCTGCCAAGGTTTCGAAGATCAGGTGGGCCGGACACGTCATGCATTTCGAGGACGACCGCTGGACCAGAGCAGTCACCGACTGGATTCCACAGGATGTCAAGCGAACGCCTGGAAGACCGCCTACGCGATGGTCAGATTTCTTCGTGAAAGCTCTGAAAATGGTATGAAGTTCATCGTGTCCCTCGAGCTGAGAGAGTTCATTGGGCAACTCTTGCACGTTGCAGGGACGAATGGAGACGTTACTGGCGCCCGCTCGAGGAACTACTCCCCGGATGATCAGCGGGAGCACAGGTGATAGAGGTGATTGTACCAAGCACCGCCCACCTAGAACGCCGCGCCTAGAATGGGTCTGTTTCACTCATTTCATCCGCCAACTGATTGCCTATTGCTTGCCACTTCTCTCACTCTCTGAGCTCTTTTAGAACCGAACTACGAATTTTTAAAATTTTTGTGCCAAGTACCGCCCAGACCTATTAGAACGCCCCGCCGCCAAGATGGGTTTGCCTCGCTAACCTTCGTCGGCCGCCAACTGATTAGCCTATGCGTTTTGCCACATCTCCGCCTCTCGCGGCGTCGCTTTTTAACCGAACTACGAATTTTTGAAAATGTAGCTCACTAATGTGCGGACGCCCCGCCCACAGTGGGCGGGGCTTAGCTTAGTTCATGCGTGTTCCGTACATCTTGGCCCATGCCCTACCCAACCCACCCTTGACCCGCCCCCTCCAACTGGCTCTTCAGGTGATTCCGAATTTCCGGACAGACAGACAGACAAACAGACAAACAGACGTTGCCGTTTATATATAGTAGTGATGGTGACAATAGGGAGATGATACCGTACCTTCCTAGGTCACCAGATCAGCTACGGTATCACAGACGGGAGGTCATCGGACAGATCGCATTTAAAACACTGTTCAAAAGGCTAAGCTTGTATAGGGGGCTAGCTCCCGCGTTATTGACAAACATTCTCCCCTCCGGTTCATTTTTGGACCCATAGCCTGTGTCGTGACTTCTGCACGACTTCTTCGCACGTTCCGTCCTTACGTCCGTTGCGCAGTTCTGTACGCGCAACTGTCAGCCGAATTGGAAGCTTTAAAGGGGCGTCTTCGCAGACCGCACAGGGGTCTCACCGCAATTGTGTCTTCGCTGACTATTCGACGCAGCTTCACATTTTGGGCCCAAGCAGTTTTGGGCTTTGCGTTCACCTTACGGATTGGTTCCGCAACCTTCCGTCTGTACATCGTATCCTCTACCACTCAATGCCGTTTGGACTCCAGCAATTTCGGCACCGAGCTCATTTTTAAATTGCCTGAGCGACCAAACCCGCTGAGAACATGCACACAAGGGTAATTTACCATCGTGATTACAATTAAGACACTCATTGACACTACGATTCCTCATGGGCTCAGCCTTAGCGGAGCGCAGATAATCGCAGTGTCATCCATTAGCGCCAGCGGCAAGAGTGAATGTCACATTCGTAAGTGGGTTGTAAACTACTCGTCAATACAAGTTTTTAGCGGATTTGGTGACTTAGGCAATTTAAAAATGAGCTTGGTGCCGAAATTGCTGGAGTCCAAACGGCCTTAGCCTCCTCCACCTTCTACTCACGAGTCTGAGGCTCGTCCTTGCCTGAACCTGGCCCGCCGTCCCTCATCTTGCGCAGTTACCGCCCTGGGGCAACTCTGTCATGCACATCTTCTCACTCCTACGTCTGGAGCGATCGTCACCAAATGGACCGCGTGAGCGAAGTGGAGGCGCCACGGCCAACTAGAGAGCCTCCATGGCCCCGTACTAACGCGCTGAGCGCTGACACGGTGTTAGAAGTTTTATTAGGTGTTTTATATTGCCGACTCTATGATAAATCTAGACTTGTCGAATTTCCCCTGCTTTTCTCCTACTGTCAACATGTTTAGCCGCCACACCCTCTGTTTTTTGATTAATGGTTTGTGTTGTAGCTCTTGTGCCGATTCTAGACGTCTAGTTAAACCCCATCAGTGTGTAAGGCGCAGACTCAGTATTGTGCGCAGCTCTAACGAGGTGAACTGTAGGACTATTAGGGAGCCTAGGACAGTCTCCTAGGGAGCGACAAGTGAGCGCAGAGCCTCGATGAGTATAGGGGATAAGGACCGTAAGCGTGGCCGCGTGGAATTGAAGTCGCAAGCGATGTAGACTCCCCTCCAACCTTGTCAAGAACCTAAGACGACGCGAGACTTTATTATTGTAACAACTATTGGGTCGGCCCATAAGTAATGGCGTTTTTTTCTCACTCGAAATATCGCGCTGAAGATGAAAACTTTTGCCATAGCGTTTTATCCTGTTTTGTAGAGAATTCCTTGCCCTACATGATAGTTTTTTAGTTTCCTTAGACTGTCTCTTTCCACTAATATTTAAATGCTCAAACTGGAGGGTCACGTCGACAAAATTTATCATTTTCGACAGCCTCACCATTTTACTTCTGATCAAAAAGCTTAAGCCGCACAGACCCGGAAGCTAAGTATATGGCTCTTAAGAATGATTATGACGGTTCAAGCGATTATGAAGATTTCAATATAGACCTCACAGAGAAGCATCGGACCTAATGCCCTATTGAGTTCAACTGAGAGCTTACTGAATAACCTTATTCATGGATATTCATACCAGGGATGGGGAATCGTTTAAGTCACGGAACGCTTCCTTATCATCATCAACTACCACCCTCAGTTGATGTTATACGTCCGAAAATTAGTGGATAGGTTCTGCAGGCCGTCGCTCTCCAGGAGCCCCCCCCATGCGTTGTACATTTACAAGGTCCGAATTTCCACCGCTTGAATTAACTTCAAGCTGCATAGGAAGCATCTTTTTATGTGTATCACAAGTCTTGCGCTTCTTCTGCGGTTTAAAAGCCGAGATAAAGTTCAAAAAGTAGCTGTCGAAAACTCACTTCTGCCTCGGCCCGAATTTCCCTTTCAGCCGAATAAAAATTGGCACAGTTCGAGAAATAGTAAGAAGACAATCATGCTACCTTATAGAGCAGAAAGTTATCTATCGAACAATGTAGAACTCATTGGAAGAAAATATCATTTTCCATATATAAATTACGTGAGTAAAAACGCCATCACTTATGGGTCAACCCAATAATATTATTATTATAATTAACACTTGAACAATTCACATAGAACCAATCAAGAAATCTTTTTACGCCTCAAAAATCATCTAGTCTTATGGGTTCATATTCAGCCATCCTCCTGCAGATTTGCTCCACCTGTTCTTGAATAGGCCCCGCTTGATAATCTCCAATCTCTGATAATCAGTCGCATTCGGTTTATCTCTTTGTCTTTGAAAAGTCTTACGGGCGGGGCTCCGCCCACTTTACAGTAACCTTACCGTATAGTTCCCAACAATATCTCTACACCCGATGAAGCACACCCCTGATGGGCGGGGCGTTCGCCGAAGTGAACGGTGCCGAGGACAAAAACCCTCAAAACGCACCCGAAAAACCCCACGAAATGGGGAGTAAGGTGAAACTGAGCAATGGTTTGGCAGATGAAGTTAGTGAGGGATAACCGTAGGGAGTACCAAATGGTTGGTACCGTCGGCAATAGTTTATTCTTCGATTCCTCATCACTAAGGGGAGTGCCGCATAGAAAATTTTGATGACTGTTTTCTGGAGGGGGGAGGGTGGGGGGTATATACAATGAAACGGAAAAGTGCGGTAATTCTCAAAACATTACTTTTTGGACCATTCCCCGGCGAAGCCGGCCGATCCGACTGGTTGACGTGATAAAGGGGGAAGCTCGAAGGTCTATGTGAGGATGTGAGGTATTTGGTCGAGTACTCATAAATCAACTTCCACCCTTTCAGGCTCTGAAGAAGGTGAACTCACCGAAACGTCGGCCAGCAAATAAATATTCTTATCAACCTTGTGTGGAGTTAAGCAACAACTAATATCACATCACCAAAATGCCAAGGTTTATTGAGAGTCAAACATGGCGTCTGAGCCTATAGTTTGGCGACTCGACCATTCCCTCCAAGAAAAGAATTTGTGCCGCTTCAGGTGCTTGATTTAGCAAAAGGAAACGCGGTCAGAAACCCTCGTTTTTGTTGACATCGTTATTTAGGCTAAAGGAGGAAGCGCGCCTATATATACCCATTACGGAGAAGGTTCTAGAATGTTCTACCACTACCACATGGTAGATCATTGGTATCGATCAAGAATCGAAAGTTCTGGAACTTTAAACCCTATCAAAATTTTTGATCAACCTAATATTTGCTAAAGTTTACTATCGTTTCAGATAAACATCAATTCAGTAATACCAACCATAATGGAATTAATTCATCCTCTTGTGATTATTGGAACTCCATTGGTTCCGGTGCCATCGGACCATGCCCAATTCATCAGCGCGCTCTAATCACAACCAGGATTACGGTAGCACACGGACTCCCAAATCTCTTGTGTTCGCACCCTCCGGAAGTCTTCCCTCGCCACAGTATGTCCTTCTGCAACCGTTTTCTCTAGCCACAGTGCGTGTCCCGTCCTGCAACCCAAGTCTTCCCTAGTCACAGTACGTGTCCCGTTCTGCAACCCGCAGCTCAGAACGCAAATACGGGTCAGCCATGAAACGAGTTCGCGTCAGTGTCGGTGTGCTGGCGCAGGCAGCGCTTCAGTTTTTTTTTCTTTGTACACGTCAGCAACCTTTGCTGACGCGACGACGCTGATTCATTTGCAGGTGAGAGCTGTTTCGTTTGTGTATTATCGCTCTCCTTACTACGCATTGTCCCCGCAAAGTTGTACTGCTTTTTTGAGCTGATGTATTCTCGCGCTTGGAGAACTTTGTTCTGATTCAGGGTGCAAGTCGTGCAGATGCTGATCGCGTTGTTGTTCATCTTTCTTATTTCAATCTGTGATGCTCAGCAGACTTGTGAAGGTGAGTTACCCTGGCGCTATTGTGTTTGAGGTAGGGGGGAGGGACCGTGCGGCAGGCTGCTCTTTGCACCTCCTCGTCGAGATAGTATCCGAATGTTTGTTGGCTTCAGTCTTCGAGGTAGCCCGTAGCTCCCTTATTTCAGATGTAGGACATGAATTTAACACGATCATGGTGATTTTTCAAAGTAAGAGACCTAACATTGAAAAGTGCGAAGAAGCAGTTGAAGAGCATTGGATGAGGATGTCGCCTATGCCGAGAATGGAAAAAACTTTGGTGCGGCTGAACACATTCCCCTTGTGCAAGATGCTTTAAATGCTCTGGATGATTCGCAGAACCTGGAAATGCCTCCGCTGATCTAATGGCATCTTATCAAAATGGGCTGATAAACAGCAAAAGCTTTTGTTTTCCGAAAAAATTCCTAGTGAATGCATGCACTCCACCCTCTATTCGGAATTAATCGAAATATACTGGAGTCTTATAGGTGTTGGTCTAAACACAATCTCGGTGTGAGTTGGGAGCAGAAGAGCTGCCTACCTGGTCATTCCTTGAATATTAGGGTGATCGGAAAGTTTTGAGAATTTCCAGTCGGTTCGTATAACGTTCATTCACAACAATAAGAGATCGGAATCAGGGTAATATAAAAGTGTCCTTTCCATTTCATTTTCCATCCCTTTTCCATCCGCTTTGTGGCCTATGAAATGATTGAAATGATTTTTCTCGCAAAAGAAACCAGTAACAAACAGTGAAGTGTATCTATTAAACTATCATAACAAATACTTTGGAAAAAGAGCCAGGTTGATACGGACAATTTGGGTAGCAAGGTATTCTGAAAAATTTGTGGAGAAATTCCCATCAGCAATCTTGTCTAGAAGAGTATACAGTGCTGCTGATGAAATCTTGGCCTAATGTGCAGTATCATCTCTAGAAACCAATGCCATATTCGTAATCAGGACCCTGAATTACCGTTGAAATTTGAGTTTATAGCGAACTCATGATTACTGCGGAATGTGGCGGTGCCTACCTGGATCAAATGGCATTATCACTAAAAACGAATTCGATGTAGTTACCAGGGCATTTTTGACGTTTAGAGTTTGTGACTGCCGTTTTTCGACTTTTTATCCAGAGTGTTCGATTCACTTAAAAAAAACTCGGTCTGAAGAAAGTCAGCGTAACTCCTGCTCTTCACGTTTATGTAACATTGTCCGCTGCCAACAGCTGGACAGTAAGGGTCGAAAGCGTAGTCTGCCAGTTGTGCGTCACATTATCCATGCCAAAATGTAGAACCTTCTAATGTGGAATCTAACCAACTGGAAAACCGAAAAAAATTGCATTTTGCAAGAAGTTTCTGACCATCCTTGACGAGCGCAGCTAGGATAGGTGTAATTGTGGTAGTAGCGTCAAATACAGTGCTATCCGTTCGCAGGGGAGCCATAATTTATTGGGCACCGCTTTGGATTACGGTACCTTAGCGGTAATACTGAAGAAAACTTTTGTAAAAATTTGTAACCGGCATACCTAAAAATGCATCCTAATTCATTGTGGACAAGTCCCTCATAGTGGCCTGCAGTATTTGTAAACCTGAACGCGAAAACGGTGGGCTCCTTCTTCCCAACCCTTATTTTCATCTCATCCCATTTCTTAGATGGATGGTTTGTTACCATCGTTACGTTTTCTTTTTCTGCGCGAATCCCTATTGTTCAGTTTGAAATGTTCAGTACAACGTCGACACTGCATGGACGCCAAATTCATTCACCTTTGGAGTCGTAAACCCATCCGTTGGTGAACACAACGACATAACAGCCAACAAAACTGTACTAAAAAACTAATCATACTTTCTCTAACCACGTCGTCTTGGCGGATAATAATGTTTTAACCTTCTTTAGTATGTGTGAAGGTGCTTACGGATGCGATGACCAAGGTTCCTGACGCAGAAAAGTCGAAGCCGGATTCACTTGCCAGGATTATTCGTGAACACTGTGAGAGCAGCAAACTCAAAGACCACAAGTTTGTAAGTGATTGCAGTTCCATTATCAATTTTTTTTTGTAGTGCTACGTTGAACTTACGGCACGCCCATACATGAAGTGACCTTTTACACAACGATTACCTCTAGGCGAAACTATCGGTGCACTCCACAATTTCGAGTAACTTGATTGCTAACACATACCATTTCGAGTTTTTTTTTAAGTGCTTCTACATTGGAGCTCTGCCAGAGTCAGCAACTTCGATGATGGCAGACGTAACGAAACCATTATCGTGGTCCATGCCGCCGGAGAAAGTCTGTGAGAAATTGAAAGCCAAGGATGCTCAGATATGTGAGCTGAAATATGGTGAGTTGCGCAGGGTGATTGAAATTTTTTGCCATGACCACAAAAAAGAACAGATTCAGGGATTCATCCTGCTAAGTTTGAATACTACAGAAGCTCATGTATGCGGCGTACATTTGATCGCAACTCACCTTTTTCAGACAAACCGTTGGATTGGAAGACCATTGATCTCAAGAAGATGCGCGTTAAAGAACTCAAAAACATTCTGAACGAATGGGGAGAGGTTGGTGCTATTTTAAGAAGTATAAAAGGATAAAGTCTTCGCCGTTAATCAATCCCTTTGTGGGATGCGGCACGCATTCTACTTCCATTCAGAATCGTAGTGGCTTATTGAATGCGATGTGGCCTATACAATGACTTGCGGGGGCCAGCCGATGTACAAGTCAGTGTTCTTATCCTTCCAAATGAATCTGCCATCAGTTGACCGTCCCCGTAAGGTAAGAGCGCGTTCAGACTTCGAGATTCGTCAAGCGATCGGATCGCGCCATCCTAGTCAAGCGATCGCGCGATCGGTGAAAATGCGTAATATGCAGAACTGCGAAACATGCGGACAGATGTAGGTATTGATCGCTTAGTCTCAACGCCGAATTTCTGCATTTCGGCGTATTCTGCGCATTGCGGCATATTCCATGGTTCTTGGAAATCGATTCTTCTGTGTTGAAATTGTATATGTTTTGAATCTCTTAAAAATAGCCACAATATGTATCCAAATATTCTAGAGAAATATTAGGTATGTTGGCGCATGTAATACGATGTTTTCCGCTGATGCATGTTGTTTCTGCTATCGATCGCCCCTGAAAGCGCTTCATCTTTGAAACCTTTCATTCATATTTCATTTAATCATGCAATATCAATAGGGTTTCAGAAACGTTTTGAAATTGTA